AACACCTCGAAATGTTTTTGGCTGGAGAACGAGAATGCGGCTTAGTCCTGTGTTGCGCTAGCGCGCAACCTCGTATTCCCAGCACGCATCCGCATTCGTGAGCATGAACCGCGCACATCTTTCGTAATTGCGACATGAATCACAAGAGGCGTTCGTCATGCCTAAATATATACATTTTCCACGCAATCGGTCGACGATGTCCGATGTTGAGAGGGTATGTTCGCACGCTCGGCCCGGCTCGCGCTCACTTTGATCCTCTTGGCAGCCAGGAAATGGAGGTCGCGTTAGAGATGAAGCGTGAGTGTTTCTTTCGCTATCACTTTGATCGCCACTGCGCTGGCAAGGCATCATCATCGGAGGTGTTCGGCCATCCTCTCACCATCTGCCGTTGCCGCAACAGAAATTTATAATTTCGGCCCGGAATTCAGGCGCGCTGATTTCTCTCTGCTCAATATGTTCAGCGATTGCGATCGCGAGGGGGCGCTGCGCGAGGCGAGGCGAGGCGAGGCGAGGCGAGGCGAGGCGAGGCGCCAAATGAGGAGGGCACAACGAATTTTGACTGGTCTCGCTTGTCGCGCATCATTGCGCGCTCCAACTCTTGCGCCAACCAAGACCATAACGGCCCTTGGCTCCGAAAGTGAAGTGGCTTTTGCCTTGATGAGCTGAGATATAAAAGCCGGTGATGTACGCCGCCTATTGATGCGTCTTCCTCAAACACGTGTCCTCTCCACCCGAAGGTCATCCTGCCGCCACCAATCGCGTACTTGGCAGACAGGGCAAGCAACCATCGACATCGACATCGACATCGACATCGTATCATTCGATTCGACTCAGAAGATGATGACGAGCCTGTACTTGAGTGGCGCCATATTGGCATCGCTATCCAGCGCAGCGATTCACGTGTCCTTCCGAGATCCCTCGAGCGGTAGGAGCGACGGTAGCGACGAGGCCAACAAGAAGGCGAGGCGAGATGTCAAGGCGGAACCAAAAGATCGGATCGCCGAGCATCATTCGCGCAAATTCGCCTTCTTCACTCTGCTAGGATGGGTCAAATTTGTCAATTTCAAAGTGACGCCTTTTAGCGCTGCTGCTCAAGCCGTCTATCTGTTCAAGCTGCACATTGATAAGCAGTCTGACGTATTGCCAAAGAGCGCTCCATCCGAACAGCTCGTCCGCATCAACATGCTCCTCTACACGAGCATCATACTGGGCGGCTTGTTGCGCTACTGGTGCTACAAGACGCTGGACAAGTACTTTACCTTTCGACTCGACATCAAATCCGATCAAAAGCTGATCAAAAACGGACCGTACAAATACTTGGCCCATCCTTCCTACTTTGGCATCTTTCTTTGCAATGTGGGAGTCATAGGTTCGCTAGCTGGACCTTTCAACGTTTTGCTGAGCTTGCTGAGCAAAGGAGCATCCGAATCGCTCTCCGGCGCCAGTCCTCACTCTGTAGTCAGGTCCCTCTTGACCTTGCAAGCGCTCGCAGGCATCTGGTCCGCCTATGCCTTGGTCTTGCTTCGCGTACCCGACGAAGAGAACATGCTCAGAAAGCACTTTGGCAAAGAGTACGACGAATACTTGGCAAAACGCTGGAGAATGCTGCCTTTCATCTGGTAGTATTGCACGCGCTGCCAATCGACTTAGGCAATGCTGGCCGGGAGCGCGGCAGGAGAGCATGTTCGAGAGCTGCTGTCGCGATCGATCTGGTCGCTATAGCTGCATGGCCACATTGCTGCCGTGGTCAGTGAGCTGCTGGACATGCGACCGGTGCCCCTTTCCCATGCAAGGCACAACAGGAATTAACATTCACATGATGGCCATCGGACAGCATCGTCGCGCGCCCCTCAAACCCCCCATTCAAACTCTGTAGACCGCACGTCGGCGCCTTGCTGGCTTAATTGGTGGTGAAGTTGCACAACACTTCACGATACTCTCCATCAAGAGCGGCCCATCACCCAACCCCCTCCCTCCTTTGGCAATAGCGCTCCACCAAACACAACGCTTCTACGCGTCGCAAGGCTTTCCTTCCGGATTCCCATCTCCGTGAAATTCATTCTGTTTGCAAAGAGACTCCCACCAATCAGGAGCTTGAGTCAGCGAGTCGTACGCGTTGCGAGCAGGACGCACTCGTGACTTGCTTAATTGCAACGGTGTCTGCGCTGCATCCATGCATGAGTGGGCGTCTGGTATTCCCATATATGCGCATGCGCCTTCTGACTAGAACGAACGAGCGCAGCCACGTGCTTCATGTTCGCGATCGAAATCTTGAATCTTGCATTCTTGCATTCAGATTCGATTTGATTCATCGATGCATGGCATGCAACAACTCAACGTCTGCTTGCTCACTGATGCGAAACCAACGACTTCTTGATTCGCCATTCGAGGCTTGCGCTAGAGCACTTTATCAAGCCGCCAGCAGATGCATCGCACGTGAAGCGGCTGTTGATTGATCTTCGTCTAGCTGGCTGGCTGCATGAC